CCCTGCCAAGCTCGAGGCTGAGCTGTTGGGGCCGACGCCGGGGCCGGTGAGGGGCGCTGGGTCCGAGTGCCGCCTTCTCCTCTCTGCTTCCTGCGTTCTCCCCTGCCGGCCTCGGGGCAGGCCTGGGTGGGCTCCGCTGAGGAGGAGGAGGAGCAGGAGGTGGTGTTTTAGGACGGGAGGGGCGAGAACTCGGTCCTGAACGTGTGGGAAGCCCCTGAAGTTGGGGGCGGGGGAGGAAAGGTTGGCAGCCTCAGGGGCGGCTGAGGAGTGAGGGTGGCACCGACTAATTTTGCTTCGTGTCTAGGCTCATCTCATGCCGATACATCGCAGTCAGAGTTTTTTAGGGAAGTCTTAATACTTAACCTCAAATTAAGCTTTAATGAAGAGTTTGGTATGGTTGAAGGTACTGGAGCTGGTAACAGAAATCACAAAATGGCTGAGGTTGAAGGCACTTCTGGAGGTCATCATCTCCAACCCCCCTGCTCAAGCAGGGACATCAAGAGCCAATTGCCCAGGACCATGTCCAAGCCACTTCTGGGTATCTTGCAAGGGTGGAGACTCCACAGCTTCCCAGGACAACTTGCACCACTGCTCGGTCACCCTCACTGTAAAAAAGTAGGGGAAAAAAAAAAAACCTAAGAAAAATCTAACACACCCCTCCTCACTTCAATTACACTGAAAATCTGCTAAATGAAGGTTTAAATTTCCCTTTTAAGCGCGGTCCTGTGCTCCTCTTGTACAGAGCTGAACGGTGAACGTTTATGTATGTGTCTTTATGGATGCCCGTTACCGCCTGCGCCTGGCCCTTGTCACCCGCGGGGTAATTCAACAGGAACAGCTTCACACTGCTGTCTTCTGACCCTTCCCTCACATTGCTACGTACACACGGAACAAGACGTTTCGGTTTAACACAAGAAGAGCGTGCATACCTGTTTGCATTTTTTCCTGTCCTGTGTTTATTCTTACGCAGAGCTTGGCACTGTTCAGGTAACCTGTGGGTACAAATGGCTGACACGGAAAGATCTGCCTTTCTGGAGACCGCATCTTTAAATTTCAATACCTAAGATTACATTCATCAGAGAGGTAGGGGGTCACCTATATACATGGAAATGTTCTGCTCTCATTTTGAAGCCCTCAAGGAGGCAGTGACCTCACCACAAGAAAAAGGTCTCTATATTTGATACTTTACACTAAAATACTAAAGCTTATTTTC